ACTAGTTAGTTTAAAACAACACAGATACGCTGTAGTTCTGGAGGTCAGAATTCCAAGATGGGCCTCACCAGGCTAAAGTCAAGGTGTCTCAGGCTGTGTTCCTTTGGAGACTCTAGGGAGAACTGGAGTCCTGGTCGTTTCATGTCTGTAAGTTATGTGAGGAAACGGAGTCCACTGGAGAGCTCTGAGCTGTGGACAGGTCCAGTAACTTACCATCTGTTAATGTGACTTGGCTGTTGTCTGATGCAGGACAGTGAGAGGAAGGAGAGGTTCAGGAAGAGATTCATCTAAGAGGTTGCTGCGGCCCACCCCCACACGATGGCAATCAGGACACCTTGGTAGTGGAGATAGAAATGAATGATGGGGACATATATTTTTAAAGGCTGAATTGATAAGACCCAACCACGGGATGGATATGGGGAAGAAGGGCAAAAAGGAGGTGAGGCTAATTTCCAGATTAGGAATTGAGTGGTGGTGCCACTCCCTGGGGTGGGGAGCCTGGGGTGTGAGTATTCCATGCTGGAAGCCAGAATTCGTGTCGGCCAGTGTGCACTCCTATGAGACCTCCAACGTGAGGTGCTGTCAACTAGGCGGATATTTGTGTTTGGGATCCGTGAAGATGTTTCTAGAGAATCATTGGCCGATTGATGGTGTCCAAAGTGTGGTCTCCATGAGGTCACTATGAAGAGTGTAGGTGGAGAGGTAGACCCCTGGTGCAACCTGGGTGGTCCAAGACTGAGGGGCTGGGCAGAGGAGGAGAGGCCGGCCTGAGACACTGGGAAGGAGCTGCTGGTGATGCTGGTGAACTGGAGAGGGGAGGAGGGGGAAGTATATTACCTGTTTTAAAAGCTGCTGAGAGAGCAAGTGAGTGGGAACTTGAAGAGCATCGTCGTTAACGGCCACTGGTAATTTCAGCTTGTGCATTCCCTATGGAGTGCTGGGTGGGAAGTGTGGGAGTGAGGGACAGAGTCAGAGGTTCCTGACAGCCAGGCGCCGGGTGTTCCTCACTGAGGACCCAAATTCCTACCTCGGAGGGAGAGTTCACTTTCATACGACGTAAGGCCTTCTGCCTTTTGTTTTTACTAGGTGCAAATAATTTTAGAGGAAGCAAGACTGCTAACACTGAAACATAATTTCATGATCAGTTAAAAGTTATGCTAATGCTTATTAAAAGGTGACCTAGAGAAGGGTCTGTGACAATGAGGGTCAGTAGCCTGCTGATGTTGGTTTGGAGGGGGCTGGGTGGCTGTTTTTGTGAATTTCCTGAGGGACACTGCAACTACCCTGCATACACTGGGAGGCTCAGCGCCTCTGCTGCAGGTGGCACCTCCCTTCACGAGTTGGGACTAGGATGCCTAAGGCTGCTGTGACAGTGACCACATAATACTTACACGTCATCATTGCTATCTTGATTTAAGTTGCCAAATTACTGTGCACATTGAAACTCGTGGTAGTAATGAAGGGACAGTGGTAAGGTCTTGAAAAGTTTGAATGATATCACCCTTTATAAAAAGAAAAATGTAGCAGTTTTGCAAATTTCTCCCGGAGCCTCTCCTTGCACGCAGGTGTTTTGAATTTTCTTTTTTTTTTTTTTTTTTAAATTTTTTATTTTTTTTTAATTTTCGGCGTACACAACATCTTTGTTTGTATGTGGTGCTGAGGATCGAACCTGGGCCGCCCGCATGCCAGGCAAGTGCGCTACCGCTTGAGCCACATCCCCAGCCCCTTGAATTTTCAATATTTCTTCTTTGACGTCCTCCATGGAGCGTGTCTTCAGTTATGTTTTCCTGTGGCGTTGACAGAAAGGAAACGTATTCTTATTATAGCATTCAAATTCTTTGCCTTCCAAGTTTGGCTTTCTTAGCAAATCTTTTGTGTCAAATGATTTTAATTTCCTGATTTACTTCTGAGCCTTCGCCTTGGCCCACTGATCTTGCCACGGGTGAAGTCTATAGACATCCACACTGTGTTATAAATGATCCTCCCAGGCAAGGCTTATATAATGCTGTGAGTTCAGTTTACCCCACATTTCTCAGGACCTGGGGTGAGGCTGATGGTGTGCTGGGGCAGGACTCACAGAGATAGAAGTAGGTCCAACGGGGGGCGGGGGTGGGGGTCAGGGACAGAAACTGATAAAACTAAGCGTGGACCCATCTGTGAGATGGAGACTTGAGCACAGGAGAGAGCTCTGGTCTTCTTTGGCTGGGGGCTTCGGGGTCAGATGGAGGTGATCTTTGTGGACATGGATCTTAAACAGGACATGGATCTTAAGCAGTGAGCAGGACTCCGACAGGCAGCTGCCCCAGGACAGGGCAGATGCAGGGAGCAGGTGGTGAAGGCACAGGCCGGGGGCATGAAGGGGCCAGTGGTTCCGGACCCTGTGCACCTTGGTTCTCACTTGGGCTGATGAGGGTGGTGGTGAGCTGTGGTTGGGGGGTGCCCATGGAGCTGGAGAGTCCTGGCCTTCAGGCCGGGATGTGGGACGGTGCATCCTGGGGTAAGACGTGGCGTCATGTGGGGAGGTCCCCTTTGGCACGAGGCAGAAGAGCGTTGAGGAAGAGGCTGAGAAGTTACGTGAGTTAGTCGTATCAGAGCTGGGAAGGCAGCGTGCTCAGGGGCTATTTTGGGGAGGGGAAGTTAAACACTAGGCAGAGTATGGGAGGAGGTGAGGGTACAGAGGACATCAGGCAGGAGGGGAATCCATGTGCCAGTAGGAGATTAAACCAGGCAATCTGTCTTTTGTCTCATGTTGGGATGAAGGATTATTGAGCACACACCTTGGAAGACAGGAAAGGGGTCCAAACTGGGTGCTGAGTGAGAAACGGCCCATGTCTGTGTCTCCCCACCAGATCTAAGCCCTTGAAGAGCAGCAGCCCTGCCACGCTTCTCGAGTGGACAGTATTTAGAAGGTTTTAATACATATCCACCAATCAGCCAATTGCATAAACTTAACTTATGCATCAACAAGATTCCATTTTCATTATTCAGTATTTTTTATTGATTGTGATATGGTATCACCATATTTTATTGTTTCCAAGTAGTATTTAATGGCATGGGAAATACAATTTGACTTTAAAGTAAAAAAAGACATACATGCAATAAGATCTGGTTTTCTATCTGTGCATGTGCGAGAGAGAGAGAGAGAGAGAGAGAGAGAGAGTTGTCAAACATTAGTGACAGTTATCATGAGATCAGAACGGTGCTTATTTCTGTTTTCTAAAATGTTTTCTATAACAATCAGTACTGCCCCACCTGTAATTTCGCACAGCCTTCCTGGTGAAAATTAAAACCCGAGTGGGCTCCTCCCGCCACACGGTAGCTTGCCGGCTGCTCTTCTGGGTTTGGTCTCTGCTTAGTCCTCGGAGTTCCTTCTTGACCTTCATTGCTTGCTGTGCACTGCTGAGGAGGTGGCTCCAACATCTCGGTGCCTGGGGAGCCAAACCTTCCCTGGCCCAAGGCGAATGTTCTGCCGGCCTCCTGTGACGGAGCCGAGCTTTGCCGTGCGTGCGTGCGTGCGTGCGTCTTTGCTGCTTATGTCCTCTTGGCTGCCATTTTCCATCCCAGTGTCCTTTCAATTTTATTTTGTGATTATCGATTGTATTCTTCTTTTCTGCTGGAAAGCCTATTCTAAAAAACACACCTGCAGACCTTTCCTGGCTCTGCTTGGCTACAGTTACACACGAGTAGTAAGGATACATCCTCCCGGTGCCTGTGTGGTCTTTGTAGGCAGGTGCAGCATTGGGACACAGAAGTGTCACCCAAATAGTCATGTCCATGGTCCTAGCTGGGGTCTCCTGAGCCCGGCATCTGATATGATTGATGTCTTCTGAGGGGCTGGGCGGGCCTCCTCCCCCCTCCCCCCTCCCTCCCCTGTGGCTGCATCTTCTCACCCCCCAGACTCTGAGCGGCCCCTCACGGTGGCAGCACTGGACACCTCATGCAGGCTGCATCTCTCTCCTGGTTGGACCGGGAGCACCCTGGGGGAACCGTCTGCCTCCCTGACCCCGCAGGCTGCGCCTGGGCTCAGCGTGCCTCACAGAGCATTGCTCCTCAGCACATGCAAGAACATGCTCCACATTTAATCCAGGGCGACCTCAGAACTTTGGCCATGTGCAGTATTATCCACACGTTAAATAACTGTGGTTCCGGCGAACACGCCTCCATCACGGAAAGAGAGGGGACTGTAAGAAAAAAGACAAAAACATGTTTTCCAGACGGTAGGGGTAATCAAGCACTGTAACAGATTACCAGGGAAGGAGGCAAGATTGCTGTCCCTGGAGAGCCTTCAACATCGGGCAGGGAGAACGAGGGAGAACCGCTGTGGGGGGCGTTCACCTGTCTCGGGGCCAGTAGACAGACAGAATGACAAATGGGCCCGGGACGCTTTGATTACTCGGCCTGGAGAGGAGGAGGCTGGGGGAGACATGAAAACGACTTCAAATATGGAAAACAGCCATGATTCCCTTCCCGAGGAGAGCGAGCTGAAGGAGCTTCACCTACAGACTTAGAGGTTCAGGCCCCATTTTATTCTTAGGGATTTAAAGTCACAGGTTGCGAGAATCTTGTGGAAATCGGTGAAGTCAATGATATTGATTTTTTGGGGGTGAGAGGGAATTATTCCAATATGTTATATTGAATGTATAGCATTTCCCTTGGAAAAAGTAGCCTTGTAAAGCACCAGACCCTGTCGCTGGTCAGTGGCTAAGAGGGGAGGACGAGAGCCGAGTTAGTGGCCCCTGTGGAGGGGTGCATTACCAAGTCAGTAGCCAGGGGCGAGCAGGAGTTTCTGCAGAGCTCGGAACCTTCCCCAGTGGAAATGTAGAGGAGAGGGGGGGAGGGGGGGCTGCCCTGCCCAAATCCTGCCACTAAAAAGGGAGCTCAGATACTACTAGGAAAAAAAAAAAAAAAAACCCATTGGGGATGTTGCTGCAATTTTAGCATTCAACCACACGATGTCACCATTGGATTTTGATCGTCACTGTGTTTGTCTCAAATACTAGATGAAGGCATTTTCAAAGCTGGAGAAGAGAGGTCTGAAATGCGGGGGGCAGCAGAAGTCCAAGAAGATGAAGACACTCGGGTCGAGATCCCAGTGGATCAGGTATTCTCCACGCCCGTGAACACGCGTCCCTGCCACCGAGCCCCGGGTGTCTTTCAAACCCTGTGTTGTCTGCGACCGCGGTCCCTGTGCCTACCGCAGTCAAACCTGCCAGGTGCCAGGTGGTGGAAGGACCTTACCCACAAAACAGAACACCTTCAGCTCTCCAGTGTTCCAGAGAATAGCCTCGGGGACTAGTGATCTTTAAAGTGGAAAATGGTCTGTGTTTGATAAACAGCATTGATAGGAGATGGGATCGTAGTTAGGTATGAGATCTGAAGGAGGACGTTCAGTGTATGCAGGAGCCCTGGGTTGGGGTTTCGAATCTAGGAAAAAGTCCTCCTTCACTTAGAAAAGTATTTTTTTTTTTTTTACTAAAATGCCATGATGTTCTCTTCAGGGTCCTTGAAATTATGCTGGTTGGAATTTGTTTTTCGTAAAGGAATTGCTTATATAAATGCAGCTCAAATATTTGCTAGCTGTGTATTGATTTTCTCAGGCTCGTGGAGCAGTGTACTTTCCAGAGAGAGAGAGAGAGAGAGAGAGAGAGAGAGAGAGTGTGTGTGTACGTACTACATGTGTGTGCTCATGCAGGGACTAAGTGGTGTTAAGTGTGGCTAAAGGATGCCAGAAATGAGTGAGTCCAGTCCTGAAGGCCGCTCCTCCCGCTTTCTCACAGCTCTTGGTGGAAGGCAGGTGTGTAGGTGAGGAGGGGGAGAAGACAGTCCGACTCAGGGGAATGGGGAGAAGTCACCAAGAATTGCCACTTGTCCTCTGCCTATTATGTGACATTTCCTTTTCTAAAAGCAAATTTCAAAATCCAGCGAATTCCACCACCGCCGCCGCCTCGCGCCTGTCTCAGCCAGGAGACCCGGGATCGCTACTTGAATATTTCACTGGCATTTTCTGCCAGCGTTGCCTTCCTGATAAAAAGCCTAATGTGCTAAAAATCACAGATTTTAAAAATCCAATTTATTTTCTAGGATTTACTATAACTAATAATTTTTCATAAATCCTAGTTATGGGTATTTTTTTCCCCTGAGGGGAAGCAGAATTTTAAGTCATCTGTGAAGTTATAATTAAATATTATATTTTAAGACAAAGAAGGGTAATCATCATGTACATACAGCTCTAGGAGCTGTTCAAACCTAGACTAATTTATATTCCAGAGTCAGAACAGCAGGAAGAAATCAGCAATATTAGTAAAAGAGAAATCTCTCTGTTAATCACTTATTAAACAACTTGCAAAACCAGGGAGAGGCATTTGTTTACTGAAGAGTTTGCTGATTATAAAGAAGGCGAGTTGAGAGGGAGGCTTGATCCCCGGTCATACTTGAACAGCCCTGGGTGTGTGTCTGCAGAGCTTGGCTTTTTATTTGGTATGTGAGTGCTCACTTGTTAAAATGCAAATGTGCAAGGTTGGTAAAAGTTGAGCAATAACAACAGACTGATGTTGACTCAAAGAAATAAAGCCAGGTGAAAGTGACCAGTTACTTCCTTCTTGGGCTCCCTTGGTCTTCAGGCTCGGGTAGGCATGAGGTGCTTATGGGATCGGGCGCGCGAGCCAGTCTGTCTGGTCTGGTGGCCTTTGCTCAATATGTTATAATATTGTGAAAAACTAAATGAGAACTGGAGAAATTAGCACCAAGCCCTTTAGCTCCATCATAGTAAGAAAGAAGAATGCTGAGGATGTGGCCCCACGGGGATCTGCATTTAACAATGGCTACCATTTTTTTAAGTACCTACTGAGCGCCATGTAAAGGACTAGGCGTTATCTCATGTGATCTTGGTGACACGAGTCCCATTTTACATGTGTATGTGGAAAACAGTGAGCTCATGTAGGTGAGCCAACTTGTGCAGGTGGTACCAGTAGGTAGAGCAAGTGGGGACTGAGTGCAGCTCTGACTTCCCGGTAGAGGGGCGGTCTGCAGGGGAGCGTTAAATAGAGCCAACAACAACAAGAAGAAAGCCTGGTGTTAATCCAGGGAAGGGGGAAATTCCTCCATAAGGATGGACGTGCAGTCACTGCCTACCTCCTGGCTCAGCTGTAAGTGATTCCGCACACACATCCCCTCAGCCTGTGAGCGAGTTAGCTTCTTTGGACTGGTTTCCAGTTATGTAAATGGTCCACCTTATAAGTTTAAGAAAGAGTCATAGAGAAGTGTGTGTGTGTGTGTGTGTGTGCTGTAAAAGTCATGTACCACAGACCGAGTAACCTCTGTGTTCCTGATTAGGAGGTCTCGTGCCAGGAGCTGCGAGGCTCTGCTGGGAGGCCATTCTCCTGGGGCCTCTGTGGGCAGACACTGCCTGTCTTTGTTCTCGACCGTCTTTGTCAGGGTGCTTGTGTTGTGTGATGGCCTTGAAGGACGGACGGTGACATCCCCTGGAATAATTGTTGTCATCCAGAGGCGATTTTGTGTCCAGGGGAATGTTGGGCTTTTTCTGAGGACATGTTTGGTGGTCACATCTGGGGAGGTGGGTAGCACTAGTGGACAGTGGTCAGAGATGCCGCTGTCCACCTTGTAATGCACTCAACAGTCCTCACGGTGAAAAACCATCCAGCCCAAAGCCTCAATAGTGCTGAGTTGGAGAAGTACTACTGTGTCAGTCAGCTTTGCATCACAGTCACCAGAATACCTGACCAGAGCAACTTAGAGGAGGAGAAGTTGATTTTGAGCTTGTGGTTTCAAAGGTTCAGTCCACGCTTGGCCGGCTCCCTTGCTCTGGCCCAAGTGGGGACAAGCATCTGGTGGAAGGGCCCAGCAGAGGAAAGCTGCTCATCTTGCCAACGGCAGGGAGCAGAAAGAGGACGGAGAAGGAGGACCATCCGTAACGGCCAAGGCACACCCAGAGCCTGCGTCCTCCAGGCTGCCAGCTGCCTATGGTCAGCACCCAGTTAGTCCATTCAGATTATCAGTCCACCAGATGGACGAATCCACTGGTCAGCTCACAGCTCTCAAGGTCTAATCATTCCAGTTTTCGACATTCCTGCCATGCCACCTGGGGCTTTTAGGGGCCACCTCGTATCCAAACTGTTATACCTGCTTTGGGGCCAAAGCTGCATTTGTTTATGGTAGAACAAAGGCAGGGTTACTATTCATTTCATGCCACTGAATTGTGCACCTAGGAGCAGGGCAAATTCTATGTATATTTTTCCATAATAAAATTATTAAAAGAAAAAGATTTAGATTCCCCAAACGTGGAGTCCTGTTTCTGAAATGCAAACTACTGCCAATCACCTAGGCCCCTCTCCTTGCCTAATGGAAAATGGGGCTTGGGACCCAACACTGAAATTCTGGCTGTTGCTGTTCCCATGAGCAGCAGATTCTTTTCTTTGACCCAGGTGGCTCACACCTCCTGCCAGGATCCTTGACCCTCTGCCAGCCTAACCTGTTCTCTTGTAAGTGGGTGACACCTCAGACTTTCTATAGTCTTTGATGTGGTCAGTTGGTACCATCTAGTGTGTGTGTGTGTGTGTGTGTGTGCGTGCGTGTGTGTAGTCACATGTGTGTGTGATTTTTTTTTTGGTAGTTGTAGATGGACAGCATGCCTTTATTTTATTTATTTTTTTGTATGCGGTGTTAAGAATCAAACCCAGTGCCTCACACATGCCAGGCAAGTGCTCTGCCACTGAGCCCCAGCCCCAGCCCCGGGTCCATATTTTTTTATTAGTCAAAGTTAATAATGGCCATGGACTTAGCACTGCTTCCAAACCAGTGGGGGAGATTTTATGTACTGTAATTGGGGAGGCAGAAAAGTACCTTTTCTTTGGGGAGAATTTAGATCTGATAAGAATTTAGGTCTAATAAGCTCACCCCTTTTGCATACATGTTCTAAATAAATCTTGGGTCTGCGGTCAGCAGGGGAGCTAATGTACGATTAGCAGATACCTGGTACAGGTGACGTGTATCTCTATGCTCCATGATAAAATGATGCCTTTCCAAGATAAGGAGGCAAGAAATGAGCCAGCTCTTCACTTTAGCTAAGTAAACTGCCCCTCGTAAGTATGGATCAGGTCAGAGTCCGCTGTCTCCGAAACACGGGCAGATGAATATCTATAAAATAATTGAATAAACAACTGTATTTTGTATTTTGTTCCATTTAGAGGAAGAGGGCAGAAGATGGGGATGCTTCCTTTAGAGTGGTTTTGGATCGTTTTATAGCTTTCTTTATCAGTAGGTAGTTGATTTTGAGTGGTAAAATAATGAGAGTTGCAAAATCTTTTATGCTAAATAGTTTTATTAAATAGCATTTAAGTTAGCCTCATGAACATTGGAGCAAAGAAAGTTTGTTTTTTAATTGGAGGTTGTACCATTATTAATTTATTTATTTTAAACTTTTGAATCAAATTTGTACACATAATATTTTTAAATGTCAACCAGTTCAACAGGAATTATGATAAATAATAATAATTATTTATTATTTATTTATTATCATGGCCCTGCCTTCATCAGCTCAATTCCTGTCCCTGTGGGTGAAGGGTTGGAACTACTTTAGTTGTTTCTTGTGGATTACACTGCTGTATTTCTAAACCATATACCCACTTGCCGATTTTAATGCCTATGAGATCCTTAAGTCTTACGAGAGATGTGATGTTACTGTTCAATTGGCATTGAACGTCTTATTTTTAGATGTATATAAAATAATGGAGATCATATTAATTCATGGCATCTCGAATTTGAGACAATACGTCTCTTGATTTTGTTTTTCAAATTTAGACAATATTCATTAACTTTCTATCTAATGAGATTATAAGACGGTTATTGAGATATCTCACTGCTCCCACCCCCAGTAAAAAATAAGCCCACATGCATAGCTTCCCCCTTTCCACTCTAATTGTACAATAGTTTTTGGTTAACCTAATCTTTAATCCGCACATTACTCTCACTTTGTAGGTGTTCTTTTTTTTTAATTTTTAAAGTTTTTCTTTTTAGATATACCGACAGTCGAGTGTATTTCCACATATTATACGTACATGGAGTAAACTTATCTAATTCGGATCC